CTCTTTTTCCAGTCAGTAAAGCACCATTTTTATACTGTCTTTGGAGCACAGTGTAAATACTTCAGTAATAGATGTTTACATGTGCGCAAAAAGGAGATTTTTCAGCATGTCATTACTGGGGAACTTGCAATACTACTGGTGTCACTACATGACTGGGAGTTGTTTCATGGCTGTGCACTGTGACTGAAATCTTGTGTGTGGCTGGGACAAACATTTAAGAGTGCAACTGGAGAACCTGTTGGATAATATTCTCTCCACTCTGTATCCTGATAAATGTACTACAACCGCAAAAGCATTTGGTTTTCAGTTCAACTTGGTATTTGGTCTTCAAAGAGTGACGAAATCAATCACTGAAGATGCATTTAGGTATGACAACATCACCTGTGTAGATCTGAAGTACACAGCTGACACATCTTGTTCACATATGATGTCATTCCTGAAAAAGATCATCGTGTAACTGTGGCACTTCTGTCTAGCATTGGAAGGGAAAGCAGTGCGTGACCATGGGGATTGACTCACCCACACCTGCACAAAGATAATCTGATGAATACTGCTCTCCTCACAGCTGCACCACAGTTTACTGGGAAGCCTTTGAGAACTCCTGACAAGTGTAACAGGGGATTGCCAGTAACTGAAGGTGTGGACTGCTTACAGAGAGGTACCTTTCCCTTGCTGACATTGCAGTAATAAATGAAAATAACCGAAGCGAATACAAAGACTGTTAAAGATTGCAGAAATAGACCATTTTCACAGATTAAGAGAAATTTGGAGACTAAAAACTCAGAAAACTATTTTCCTCTCTACCGAAAAGATTTCTCATCTTATGGAGTATGTGTGTGTATGTACCATACATGCACAACTGTGCACCTTTAAACAACAACGACAACAAAAAAGCATAAACTGTTCTTAGGTTGAAGAAAGATCTGACCAAACATAATACTAATTGAAGGCTGGGGGAAAGGAGAGGTTGTTCTGTTCAAACTCCTGTCTGGTTACAGCTCAAATTGTAAGAATGGTCACGGAAGTTACTGTCACTCTTGATTTCAGCTTTTAAGCAGGTAGGCTAAAGTAAGCTCAGCAATAAGACCTCATCTGCTATTTATTTGTTTGACTCCCCTGTACCTAGGGCTCTGCAGGTAAAATCCCTGACACACTCATATAACTAAAGACTACTGAATATCCCTGAATCTGGCTGAAGGAAAACTGACTCTAGGACTTTGTTGTGTAAAGAAATTACTGAAGGAATTCCCCAAATTTTGGGGAAGATGGACTCTAATACTGTTCGCATTAATCTTGATCAAGAACCACTTGAGTTGGCCTGCCTGAGCTTAACCAGACACAGGTCATTAATGTGGGTAGTCTGATCTACGTAGGATGGTTTAGAGCTAAATTTCTGTTTAGACTGAATTGTCTGGCATACCTATTTTAATGTCCCAAAGGTGACTTGACATTTTCAACTCTTCTTGTAGGTTCTGGTTCTGGTGCAGTGGTAGGTGTGCAGAACTGTCCTGGCTGACCCATTCAAACTTGAATATTCCCCTGCCTTATTTGGGCAGATTATTGAAGTGATTAAACATATGATTTATTTCTCTCTTTTTTTTTTTTTTTTTTTTTTACCCCCCCTCAATCTGTTTCTTTGTTCTCACCAGATTCTTTCCCTTCTAAGGAAAAAAAAATTCACCCTCATTAAAGATGCCTACATACGCCAATGACTTAAGAAAGGTACTCGAGGTACCACCAGTAGCAATCACTGTTATTTTGCAAAATGCACCATGAGCTGCAAAACCTTCTTTCCATATATTGCTGAATGATGTTGCCACTTGACCACAAGTGATGTCACAGGTAGCTTATTTGCACACACAGATGCAGCACTGGCTTCACTTCAGCAAATAAAGCATCTTTGTTCCTTATGAAGTCTTTGATCAACTTAGGCACAGTAGTACAGCAGCAATCCTTTGTGTCTGCACGGAGGTATCACCATTCCCCAGTTCTTCAAATGAGACGCTGGATTATAGACACAGATTGTTCAAGAAATCAGAGCAAGGAATTATATATGGGTTAAACTCAGGTATCCCGGATTCTGGAGTATTGCCCAATATTTTCCCTTTTCTATAAGGAAAAGGAAATTACTGTTTCTATAAGGAAAAGGGAAATGACTGTTAAGAGCTTGACGAAACGTGTTTTAAGAGTTCCTTTCCTTTTCACATCACTGGAAAGTGCAGATGTCAACTTCAAATAGTACGCTTTGTAAAAATGAAACTCTTGTATCTTCTCTCTGTGGCTACAAGAAACATCTAGAGGAGGCTACCTGATCACTGAAGTTGTAGCTGCTGATTTGTTCTTTGTAAATTAATCCTTGGAACAGGAGAGATGTTTCACAGCAGCTACTACTGAACACAGAACAATGATTTCATGTTGAATATACAAATTTCTTATATCCCTTATATTTAGAGGCTGATACAGTGACGGACAGAACCTGAAACCAGCTTTGCTGTCCAAACTGGAAAGTTCTGCTGAATACATGTTTGGCTGTATGATCAGCTAGCTACCTGTGATAAAAACTCCTCAGTCCAACTAGTTGTGCTTTTTTCAACTCAGCATCGTAAGGTTCAATTGTAAATACTGGAAATTTACTATAAAATAACTTATTTTATAACTACTTATGGTACAGTTGAAGAAAATCTTAAGCTTTTTTTTCCATGACCACAGTAAAACAACAGGTGTGGAAAGATCAGGCCTTTGGACAGGGGAGAGATGGTTCCTTTTTGAACTGTTTCTGGTGTCTCATGGCTGTTTATGCTACTGTTAGCCTTGCTCATTCAAACATCACCTCCTGGCTGCAGAAACGGAGGCACCACAGCTGGTTGTCCTTTGTCTCCTTTTGCCTGATCCTTCAGCTCTGAGTGAGGTCCATGCTTTTATGAGACAATAAATCTACCTGAATTTAATTACTTTTTTTTTTTTTTTGCCTTAGAAACAACAGCAAAATTCCACGTGCACACAAAAATTACTTGCATAATCAATGCTGCGACCCAATGCATTACTGTATGCTCTTGCCTCTTCCAAGCTATTCTGAAGTACCCTTAACAAACCTGGAATAGAAATAGAGCTTGAATTCTGTTGCAAATACACTTTGGCTCCTCTACCTATCATGACTATCACTCCCTTTGGGATTGTGTCCAAAATGAGAAGTGAAATGAAGATTGTATTTGCTCTTGTTGGAGTGGGTGGCACGAGTGTTGGATTTACACAGGTAAAAATTCTGTCCTCCTTCCAAAGTTAGTTTTTAGCAAGGGTAACTGGGGCTGGTGGGGAAGCAAAGTTTGGTGTTGGAGTCTAGCCATGTAGCTTAATCAGTTGGATCAGGCTGAAAAGTTCTTGAAAGTAGTGTGGAGAAGAATGTATCTCAGGCTATGACACAGGTCTGAGGTCTACTTGCTTGCAACAAGGATGAATCCTAGCAACTCCCAACTGATGCAATGACAAACGTCATATCCTGACTGGTGAAGAGCAGCCATACATGCTGCAGTATGAGCTATTCCAAAGTTCCAAGCATTGATGTTGACAAAGGTGATGCCTTTGGTCCATAGTGATTTCTAACTTGTTATTATAGGAATAAGAAATAACTTTTAAGCTGTGTTATGCATCAAAGATAAAGATTTCTTTCCACTCAGTCACTTGGAATCTTATTTACTAGGTACTTCCAAGACTACACCAGTTTGAGTGGTCAAAATGTACACGACAAAATGTACATGTCCTAGGACTTTATTTTCTATAGGGATTATTTACTACATACAACACATGAAAAGAGTTTGTAAGAGACGCTATCATTATTTGTCCTCTGTTGAGCCTATGTGAACACTAGAGTTATGCTGATTTGCACAGTTTCAATGGTCTTGAGTTGAATGCAGGAAGACTTTCCTAATTTAAAGACTTACATATTTGACATTGCCGGCTTTTGCTTCCAAAACAATGCATATTCATAATGCCCATATATGGGAAATTTTATATTTTATTTAAAGTTGCTATAGCTCTAATTGACATATCTGAGTACAAAACAAAGAACTGTATTAAAGATGACTCATTCTTCTTGTTTCTTCTTAGCTTCTCCTCCAAGAGGATACACATTACAAACCCAAAAAAGTTTTCCCGTAGTTATCTCATGCTTTGATAGAACTAACTTTGTAACAATAAATAGGGTACAAGTAAGATAGTGTAACATCTTCCCTCCCTGAGATAAAAGTGAATGTAAATGCTCTCAATGCAAGAAGAAAGTGCTTGGGTATCTTAATACCACAGCTGCTTTATGCAGATTGCAACTGGCTTTGGTCAGGACAAATAACTTCCTTCAAGTAAGTCCCAGGTGCAAGAAGAAAACTGAATTAATCTACTAAGTAATATTATTTCAAATTTTTCTCATCCCTCTCATAAGTTTTAAAGACTAGAATTTATTGTAGCTTGTCTTTAATCCATGCCATAATCAACATTTAAATCTTGCTTTGCTTCTATACTGACTGCTTGTAAATATTTAATTAAAACCTGTTCACTTTGATACTATCAACCTTATTTTGAATCTCAGCACGAGTAGTGTGGAGAGTAGTAAAAAATCCAGGCCAAGCCTTAAAAGCATTCTAAATCACTGAAGTCACTATTTAGTCTAACTTTCCTTCTTCGAAGCAGGAATGCCAGTTGGCATCTTCTGTAGTATGTGTTGTCTTCATACCCTTTTATTGCTCAGTTACCAGTAACTAAAACAATCACAGAACTGCTCCACAGCACAATGTATGGATAGCGCCCTAACTTTAAAACATGTTAATTCAAGTAACTAACCATGGAAAAAAATAGAAGTCTTCAAAGTGGTATAACTTGAGACTTTTGTCCTACATGGAAACATAAAAGGCCAGCATCAGGAAGCACAGTAATGTTTTCTAGGAAAAAAAAAAAAAAAAAAAGGGAAAGCACCACTGCAGAAAAAGCAGTCTTAAATTCAGCTCCTTAAACTGCTGTTCCCTTTTCAAAGATACTTTCCCGAATAACCATGAGTAACAAGAAACAGCCTTCAAGCACTGCTGAGGGTGTAAGAGGAACAGAATGGTAGCAGTAGCACCACCTTCCCACACCTGTAACTTAAAAACTTGCATGATATGTATTCTTGACACTGAGATCTGGAAAAGCCCTGTCAAGAACTATGTACTGGGATCTTTCCCCAGTCCATTCACATCCCTTTAAGAGCCAATCTGGGTGGCTCAGCCCAGACTCCATATTTATGCCCAGGAGATGTTTAACACCTCAGCTACTGGGGAAGTTCTAGGACTTCCTCACACTGTGTTCTAGAAACTTCCTCACTATGTTCTAGAGCTTGGCTAACTGTACTGGTTTGCCAGCTTTCACTAATGCCCAGTTTGTCTCCTTTGTCTCAGCTGAAGCCTGTTACTGCTTCTGTTTCTCAGCATCAGTTTGTTCTGTGTTTATCCACTGGTACTATATTCTCTTTTACTTTAGATAAAAATCAAACATTTGTAAAAACTATGAACTAAAACAGCATTGTAGAAAAGAACAGAACTTTGATGGTTCTTTTCTTGCCCTCATCCGGACTCTCCACTTAAGCAACTTCTTTCTTCAAGTACAATGCTCAAAACTGAAAACTGAGTTTTACCAGTGATGAACAAAAAAAGTATTACTTCATGTATTTTATAGGTTCTGCTATACACTGCAAATCCCGTATGATGGCTGCATATTTTTTTGGGACAGCATGATCTTGACTTAGAAATTGTAACTCTCAATGTTCCTGCAGAGCTGCTCTGCAGCTAGTTCCTCCCCGGCCTCTACCTGTGGAACCTCTTGCCCACCTATTGTACCCTTTAATCGTTCTCTGGGGAAGAAAAAAAAGAATGAGTAATCAAGGAAGTTTAATTTAACCTTCTGCACCTAAGTTCCTCTTTAAACAAAACAACAAACCAACTCGAAGAGACCTACCTAGTCAAGGTGAAACACATTTTATGTTCAAGGCAGCTCCACTTTCACCAGTTAAATTTTCACTTCTTGATTAAAGCCCATTTGGATTAAGCAGCAATGCAGCTGAATAAGAAGTCATGTTCACCTGTTTCTCTGATGTTGATGCTACTGTTTGCACACCTTCGTGGTGAACCTGAACAAGGAACTAGTTTCTTGAAACACATGGTCATAACTAAGGAAAATAACTATGCATCCAATTTTATAACAGTCAAATTACAATGAAATAAAAATTTCTCTATCACACCTGTAACTGATTTCAAATGCATCTCTCTGTTGTTCTTACCACTTTGAAAAAACACACAATTGTATTTTATCATTTAATAGAAAAACTGTATTGCCAACAGCACACTGGTTTCTTAAACAGTTATCAAGTTATATTCTAAGAATTAATGTTGCAATTAAAGGGTATAAACCTACGTCACAATTTAAAAAAAGGCATTTATGCCAGTTATTTCAAGTTGCACACATTAAGAGAAGCAGCACCACGGCTTAATGAGGAACAAACCCCATCCATAATTTAAACATCTAGGAACAAGTCATTCCATACCAAAACCCCCAAATATTCGTATCAGTATCATACTTATTAATATAACTCAGAAAATCCTAAACAATCCAATCAAGTGCACGCCATTTTTTTTCCTTGCACTCATTGTTTCATAATGCTATTTTGCAGAGTTCTTTGTAACTTGGCTATGTTGGCATCCAAGGCTGCTAAGCTATTCTTAAAGTCCTCTTCATCTCGAGAAGTAAATGTTGAGAAAGAAGATGCACTCCACTCAGACTTCCCTGATATGTCATCAAATGAAATGGAACTAAAATCAGCTGTTTCACTGCCTTTTTTCTGAGAAATCTCTTTTGGAGATAGCTTAGGTACGCGAGGGTAAGTACCAGGATAACGTTGGTCTGTGAAGTCTTTTGCAGCTGCACTTGGAGTGCCCTTTGGCCTCACTTGGACTTTGTCTCCTTCTGGCTTCACTTTATCCCCTGTAACTTCAAGTGTGTTTTCCACAGTCTTTTTCCCACAGTACCCAGCACTTAATTTATCCAGAATAGTTGAATCCTTTGATATCTCACATGCATTCTGCTGCACACAGTTTGAGAACTCGCAGTGGTAGTCCAACATCTTACAAGCCCCTCTACTTTGGGGTAGCATGCTAGTTCTTTCAGAGATTGGCTGCTGTTTTTTAGAGGCACTGCTAGTCAGTGGAATATAAAGAGTCTCATCCAACTTGTTCTGGTCATCTAGTAAAGTCCCAGAATCACTAACTGTTTCTGCATCTTGCTTCAGTGAGGTTAGTAGTATTCTGGGAGCTGATGTTCCTTCTTCTTCTGAGAACGTACTGTTTATTTTACTTCCTTCAGCAGCAAACTTTTCATAGCCTACATTTTGCATTTCTAACTCTCCACTCTTATTTGAAAATTGAAGTTCTGTATCTGTCAAAATATGATCAATTTCTAATTTTTTAAGGTAAGTCATTACTGAAGTACTCCCAGGAAATGGATCAGGTTGCATCTGCTTTTCATGGTCTTCCAAAAGAGACTTTGAGAGACTGTTTTCGGGTTTGGGTCTAATGTTGTCGACTGTGAGGTCAGAGAGAAGCTTGGCCATACTGCTCTGCAACGTTCTGTTAAGATAAGATCAATTAATCAGATTTAAAAATAGTCACTGAAAAAGTCTAAAACTTTTATATAACACCAAAACATTAGATTTATCAGACTGTGGCAAAGTTACAATTCCCTTGCTACATGTTGGCGTAAAATGTAGTATAAATGTGAACCAATTCCAAGTTTCTTGACTTTCTTTCTTTAGCTCAGTGTGACTGTAAAGTAACTAAAATAGCACAACTCAGTGAAGTTCTCAAGATCATTCCTGATTTACCTGCTTTGAGTACTACAAAATAAAATAATGTCAAGAAACTATTACAAAGCATACAGAAACAGTTATCAAAATCAGTGAGAATTTTTTCTTATTCTTCCCATTGCATCTAATAAGAACTATTTATTCTAATTTCCTGGTTTGTACATCAAAATAAATTAATGTTTAAATGCTTACATATACAGCATATACATTATACACATGTAATAAGATATCATTATACTACCATCTGGCGGTCAGTATAGTAGTCATAGAAGTGTGTAATGTGTCTAAACTTCTACTAAAGAATCTGAAGTGTTGATTAAAATTATTCTGCCATTCCAATCAGTATCAATTATAAACAAGACAGACAACAGTTTAACTTCCTGTACACATCATGTCTAAACAAATCATATGTACACATGCCTTTGCATGTGCAAAAAGCTGGCCACTATGTTCATCGTAAAAGACCATGATGAAATAAATTCACAGTAAAAGTTCTAAAAAAATTACGAATAACACCGCCTTCATTCAGTGATCCAAGACTCCCACCTTTACCCGTAATTAATATCTGGGCATAACATACTTCAAATGTGTGTACAATTAAAGAAAGGACTGCTCACTCCCACAGGAAGAGCTTGCTGTGGGTCCTGAAGACAGATCTTTCTATGAGTTCCGCTTAAAACAGACCAATTTCTGAACCAGTGTAAAGAAGGAAATAAGAAATCCCTTGTCAAGTTAACAGTTAGTTTCCAACTTCTACAGCTATAGAGTGAAGTATCAGTAGGTTTTCAGGTCCATGTACTTTCCATGGAGCTCCTTGTTGGCAGGTCTGCTCTTAAGGGTTAAAACTTTGCACAAGTTACAGCAGATGGCATTTTACTTTACAACAGAACTCAAGTCATGGTGCATGACAGCTCTGTTTTAACAAAATTATATCACCATTGTAGCAAAAGTAACTACAAAGAGAAGTTCTAGCCTATATAACCTACCACCAAAGATCACAATGAAAAAAAAAAAAAATAAAAGCAACGTCAGGAGGCAAAAAAATAGCTTAGCCAATAGTACCTGGTTAATTCACGCAGTCTGTTAACTTCTGCATCACGCTGACGTAATGTTATGCCCAAAATCTTATTTTCTTTCTCTGAAGCTTCCAGTTTAAACTGAAGGCCCTTCACATTTGCTAATGCCTCTTCCACTTCTAAAACGCCAAGAAGAATTTACCTAATTATTTCTTTTAAGTTTTAAAACACTAAATGAAGAATAAACAAATTCAAAACACATACCAATCTTGAGCTTGGTGGAATGAATGTCATAATGCTGCTTGTTTTCAAGCAATTCTTGTTCTTTATCTTGAATATCTTTTGCAAGATGTCTATTTTCCTCTTTCTGACTTTCTATTATTTTAAGTAGTTCTTCATTTTTAGCCTGCAGTGACTCAAGGCCTTTCAGTGATTCTTTCAATTGACTCTGGAGCATCATATTCAAGGATTGCAAAGAAACTACTACCAAAAGCAAAATATAAAAAGTTTAAGTGTTTTGTGTGGTACAGTTTGAATTTCTGAATCAAACTAAGTTTTTAAATAATCTTGGGAATACGAATTTTGCTTACAGATAGAAGAATAATTTTTGCGGCAGCAAGATAAAACACTAGCTTTCTTTTTAATTATCTGTCATTTTAATTTTAAGAGACACATAAGGAAAAATAAGCTCTCAGCAGCTGAAGAACTGAGTCTCACTATGTGGAGTCTAAACAAGCACAACAATCCATGTGAATGAAGCCGCATGATTAGACCCACAACATTTAGTTCAGTTGCCACTAAAGGCCACAATGCATACTGTTATTTTTTATTTATATATCTATGGGTTTATATGTCTGTATCTATTTAAATAAAGCCTTAATAAAAACGTCCCTAAGAAGCATCATTCTGTACTAGTACTTTACATTCATAGTTGCAGCTCTGTCCAGATGTCTTCTCACTTCTTTCTCGTTCGCTCAGTTGCTGGTTTAATATTCTTAGTCTCCTAAATGTAAATTGTGAAAAAGCACAAATTCAGAAAGTTCAGAATAAGTTCAAACCCACTGCATTTTAAATTAGTTTGGTAAGAAGCTGCTACTGAGAGTTAAATGTCACAGGATGTTTCAGAAACATCAAAACATTTTAATAATGCATTTTTCTTACATTCTTATATTGCTTTAACACAAAAGGGTATATTTCCCTCTGTTCTGAAAGGCTACACAATTATGTATTTGAGAGCTCTCCTGAAATGAAAGACATTTTTGCATTTGATAATACTCTACAGAAAGAATATAAGCTGGCTAACTATCTTGATACTGCAGTTTTCAGAGCGAATGATACATTGATCCCAGCTGGACAAAGGCCCAATCACGATGCTAGTAAAACATCAGTATTAACTGAAGTCTTGCTATGTGTTTATTTATAAGCTATACAGCCTTATCAACACACTTTCTAATATATAAATACTGCACAGACAAGAATGAAAGGGCCGTAACGCATTGTAATAATGGTAAAATATGCCACTTAGAACAGACCGGTTAGAGATGCTTTAGGCACATGTGCAGTAAATACAGAATCACTGAAAAATTACTAACCTACGCAGCTGGGCATTTTCACTTCTGAGAGGCTGCAAAGCTAGTGCTATTTCAGCTTGTATATTTGTACTTCCCATTACCGATGGGAGCAATGATATGCAGTCTTCTATATCACTCATCAACCTTAACATTTCTGAATCATCTGCAAGAGGTGAGGGGAAAAAAAGACTGCATAAACATATAAACCTGTAATATGACAGTAATGTTTTATGTAATTAAGCAATCTACAAAGTGATATAATAGTATCTACTTTTTATCAAGAAAACATCATCTTAACTATATTTATTTACTTAAAATTTTGAAGCTTCACTATGAAAATTATGCTGTAGGTTCTTGATAAATCACAGCCCACCATCTCTCTGACCAACCTCGGTGAGATTGCTGTTGCAATCTGTCTACACTGCTCCCTTTCTCAGGGGAAAACACTGTATATGAAATGAGAACAATCGTTACCCTAGCTGTTACAATAATGTTAAAATGCTCCAAATATAATTTAATACTTATCCAGAGTGAAACATGAAGCTACTACGGTTGTGGAAAATCACTCTAAGATGTCACGCATCATCCAACACATACAATTTCCAGAAACTGAAGTGCTCACTCATTTAACACGGCTCTCATTATTTCTGTGTAATCACTCCACTGCACAATGAAAAGGTCCTCACCTTGATCAGTTATCAGTGCTCTAAGCTCTCCCATAAGATATTTTACAGTCTTAACTTTATGGGCTGTTTCTTCTGGACTTTCTTTTCTAGATTTCAGAACTTTCTTCACAAAACTTGTCTTACAGCTTGCATCCCTCACTGGGGCTATGTCAGGTACACTCAATTCATCTTCTTCATTGACCATGTCCTCACTGTGTTCTTCAGAACTATCCTTCTCCGTGTTACTTGAAGCATTATGTTTTGCTGGACAACGATGATGGCACTTCTGTTCAGTCCTGCCGTTCATCATTCCATGGGATTGTAACAGGGCCAGGTGAGCTTGTATGCATCTTATCAAATCTGCTTCCTTTATATGTTGCTCATGGTTTGAGGTCATCTCTCTGCCAGAAGACGAGATGAACGTACGCATTGTAGCGTTACTTGACGCACTCGGTGCCATACAAGGGATCACACTAGGAAGAGCAGTGGCAGACTGTATTTGCGCAGCAGTAGTAGAAGCAGAAGAAACTACTGGGCAAACCACAGGTGCTCCCATCTCTTGCACACATTCATTGCCCTTGTCTACAGGAACATCCTGCATAAAAAATATTCATAATAAACAAAAAATTAACATGATTTTTTGAATCGTAAAAAGAAAACAAAACAAACAATCATCATCCTTGTCTGACTAAGCTGTAGTCTTGATCATTTTTTGCAAATTATACAAGCAACTACAATTCACTAATTGCATAATTTTCCAGTATATTAAGGAGTAATTAAATGTAAATCTGGTTTAGATTACCTTTATCTTAAATGTTATTGTCAGTATTTTCAGCTGTTCTGTAAAGAAAAAACCTCAGCAGTTTTTTTTTGATTTATGTACACACATTCCTTGAATCAAACCAGAATAGGGAATAACAAAAATAAAAGACAACACTGTTACCTTTCAATATTTTAAGTGGATGAATTTCTTAAAAGTCAAGGACAGCACTAGCTATACATGGACTGCCTGCAGATGGAAGGTAAGTCTACAGTCTTACAGTTTCAAGGTGCGAACCCTTTACCACATTTCCCAAGATGGCAGTTGGTAATCTCCATTAGTTCTATTCTATACCCTGAAATACACAAGTATTTTAAAATGTGGCTCTAATATAACAGTGTCTAACACACAGTGTCTGAAGAAATTATCAACTTGATCACTGGCAAGGAAAAGCTACATATGAAATATGATTTCTTTTATCAGGAGTTGGTTAACGATCCTAATGTGCGTTACTATGAATGTAATTATTAACAGTAATGAATAATTTCCTGCACCTTCCATGTTTGCTGTTCATGACAGAATTCACCATGCAGAAACAAGCAGCCAGTTGAAATGCCTCTAATTTCATTTTTTTGGTGTCTATATTTTAAAAAGCAGTACTTTCTCTCATTTATTCTGTTTATCACTATAGGTTGAAATATGCAAATTTTCTCCTTTAAGGAAAATTTTTACATAAACCCAAGAAAACCCACACAAATAAATTTATAAATAAATAGGCAGTGCTAATTTAAAATGCTTATTAATAGTCAGAATCAAACTTTTACTTACTGACTGAGTATGTAAGGGATTAGCTGAATGCTGCAGGGACAGACCTGATGGGGAAGTAGGTAATCGATAGTTACAAGCTGTAACATTTTGACATCCTAAAAGAAAACAACACTTATAGATCAGGGCAATTTGGGGAAAAACTCATACAGTAAAATAGCAAGCTCTACCTTAACAGTTTCACTAACCATGGTTTGAGGTAGGAAAAGGCGATACAGCAGGAATTTCATTACTGTTCTGTCGTGGCTGGCCACTTATCAGAGACATCTGAGTTTGCACATGGTTGCACAGTTTCTGATGCATCACCGGAGAGTGTTGACTGCAAGGCACATGAATTGGCTGAACTGTCTGATTCTGTATTGCACTGGAAAGTTCCTTCTCAGTAGAAGGTGTGGCGGACGAGACAAGTTTTCTACCTGATGTTGGCACTATAGAGAAAGAAAGAACAAAAAACCCAGCTGAAGTTGTCTGTCTTCTTGATCTACACAAACTCATTGTGTTGTCAGGCAGACTCTGGCAGGTTCCTTTTAAAAAGAAAATCAAAAGACCCTATGGCCCAAGATTCCAGTCAGATTTTTATTCACCAGCAAATCAACCCATCACTTTTTATTTTCAGATAGAGCAACCTAACTTGGTTGGACAGACAGCTGTCCTTGAAGGAAGCACAGAGATTTAATCCGACAGAAGGCCAGTTCTAAAATGCAATTCTTAAAATCTCTGTTTATGTGCTTCCTAAGCTTTTAAACCATTTGGAGTAACCCACACCAAAGCACTCTTCAAACCTAATTTTCTAATGTTGGTTATAATTAAAGATTCTGTATTTTTACAGTGCTTGAAAGATATCAGCTATGTGCTCACCTTCTACATTTCACAAAGTCAGCATTCTGCTACACACCTAGTCTACAGGCTTAAAAGTCACACAAAAGAAACAGGGTGGAGAGAGGGAGAAATATTAATAAAAAGTAAAATACTTCAACTGAGAGCAACTCAGCCTACAGCACTCCACCTACCTTTCCAGTCAAGTGCTCTGGCCACCAAATCGTTTGAGTTCTTACTATTTATTGCAACACTTTCCTGTTTTCAGAAACTGGTATTTGAGAAAAGCCTGGCTGGACACCAAACTCCAGGACAGTTTATAGCTACATATCCCAAACAGAGACCGAGCACTGTAATACTCCACCGTCCAAGAGAAAGAGGACTTGGATATTATTATTCTCCACCACACTTCCTACCAGCTAAACTCGATGATGATGTTATTTGTAAATGCACTCAACTTTCTTCCTTGTACATGAAGCTCAAACATTTGTGAATTTTAGTAACTGTTTAGCAAACATTTAAGGTTTCTAAAAGGCAACGCGTAATGTCTACATCCTTTTGTGGATCAACCTATAACAAAAGACAACACTTATCTGAGGCATTGTTATATCTCAGTAAGTTGAGGAGTCTCTCAATGTTGTTTGAGAAAAAAGCAAGCCCAAGAAAATATGCTTACCAGTTTCTTTTTGGATGTGGGCATGAGTAACGTTTTTTTTCAATCCTTTCTTCTTGGAAGTATTTCCTTTGGTTAGCAAAGGCTTGGAAGTAATTTTAACGGAAGTTCTCTTCCCAGGTTGTTTATGGATAGTCTCCCTTCCTAGTATTAGTCAGAAGAAAAACGAGTCAACAAAACAAATCAAAACAGTCTTACAAAAACTAAAAACATAACCTAAATTTTCAATAGGTACAACCTGTAGCCTCATTTTGTAAGATATTCTTCAGTAAAGCTGCACAACGGTCAAGTCCATTATGAATAGTATCAACCTGCACAAAGAATACTGCAGTCAGAAAATGAGTATCACTGTTCTGTTTCAGTAAACCAAGACACTCTTTTAGAGGTGAGTGTTCCCTCACCTCTGTCACTTGAAAAAGCACTGACAACCAGCAAAACCATGTCTTTTTCCATGTATTACTTTGTAATTACATGAAAGTTTGGAAATAAAAATTTTGCAAAAAACCTAAATTGTCTTCTTGCACACATATCCATTTGCTAGATTTTATGTTTTGGTAACTGCGTACGTGTGTCTTTTATTCTTATTTCCATGTACAGTTAAGCTATTATCTACAGCCTATTTCTATTCTGGAGACAACTAGCTAAACACTACACAGAAAACAGCACTGCAGCACTGGCTCCATACAACTCACTTTTTCGGCACAAAACCTAACAAATGTGGCTGTATTTCTGCCAAGGCCAGCTCTAATCCAGACACAGCATAGCTGTGTTTGCAAAATATATCCTGTGCTCTAAGATTTATCAGAACCAAACTCACTGCACACAAAGACAACTTGCATGTATCTGCCAGATGCACTATAGCTGCTCTTGCTAGCTTTGCAGAAGCTATGTCTAGTCCAGATGCCCTATTACCTAAATTAACTCGATTTTCTTCTATTATTCAAGGTATTCCAGTTTTCCTTCTCTTCAGATAACAGAGATGACTGCATAAAAAAAATCACTTGATTACCTGATCGTCAGAGTCAGTGGAATAGAGAGAATATCCAGATTCCACATCAGAATGGCATCCTTTCCTTAAACCAAACCTGAAAAAGTCAAATTCACTGTTTATACTAGCTCCTTTATATGCAGCAGTGTAAAAAAATGTAATTTTATTCAATAATAACATACTGAAGTAAATTAATTTTATCAAGAAACAAAATACCTTTTTCTTTCTGAAAACTCTTCATCACTGTAACAAATGTTTAGCAGACATTAACAGCTTATGTCAAAGGAGAATTCACTGTTTACTCAACAGTCTTAGGTATGGCTGGTAACTATACAAATTCAATCTTTTATAAATAAAACACACAGAGTCAACCCTGTACTTCTAGAGGCAAGATTTCTATGCAGTTTGTGTCTGTCTATTCATGGGCAGCTTAGAACTTGGCCGTACTGCGTTTCAGCTAAAAACATTCTCTGACATATACAAAGAATTTTTGGCTAGTTGTGAGGTATGACAAGTGTAAGGTTCCCAAATGCTCACATGTACACCTAATCTTAGAAAGAATTCATTATTAAGATCTTACTGTTTTCTTCCATTTAATTTAGCTGCTCCTGTCAGCCTTCCAGAAGACAGGACCTGTTGATTAAAGAAATACTTTGATTTTCACAAAGTGCTTTCACAACATAACTGAACATTACCACTGCCCATTAATTCCAAGAACCGCTGAGGCAGATCAGTTAAAGGCATTTTACAGCTCTCAGAACTAGGAGAGGGCCCACTGCTACTATTAGAGACTGAATCTTGTAGTTCTCATTTCACAAAACATGCCTTTACAGCGTGAAGCTTCATTAATTCCTGCAGCGCTCTATAGATACAGCAATTCACTCAGTGCCACGGTCAAGGGCTGACATACAAACCTACGCTCCAGAGCAAAACCAAGCCCTGTAAATACACACCTGAACTTTAGGAATTTTAAGAATAAGCTACGTTCACTGCTCGAACCACGGATGCATCACGGTGGCAGAGCCCTTGAAGCAGGAGCTTGCTGCGGTGCCCCTTTACCGGAGCCCTGAGGAAGGGTGGCAGGGCTGGGCCCAGGGAAGCACGGGCGTTCGGTGCCGGAAGGCCCGACTCCTCCTCAGCAGTCGTTACGCTGATCGCCCGGCTCCGCGCTCGGCGGGGACACCCCCTCACCCCCCGCCCCCCTCCCCGAGCAGATCAGGGGTTCAATGAGGCACCCACAGAGGGGCTCAAACGCCGCCGCCGCCCCGCACGCACCTTGCAGGGCCGCGCAGCCCCCCGCCCCGCCATTGCCCCAGCAACCGGCCGGCGCGGGGGCGGGGCCACCCACCCTCTCCCGTGGGGCGCGCGCCCCGGAACTGGCCAATCCCGAGCCTCCTTGGCTGACGGACGGGACGGCCGTTGCGGGGGGTCGGGGCTAATCCCCTTGCCCCGCCCCGCCCGGCGGCTCCTCGCTGCGCGCCGGCGGGAGCCGGCGCGCGAAGGGGAGTGGGCGGCCTTGCGGAGCGCGGTAGGCGATTGGCGGAGAATGGGGGCTGGAGAGCCAATCGGAGGAGAGAAGGGATGGGCGGGGCTAAGGCGGGCTAGGAGGCGGTGAGGGGCAGCGCGCGCCGCTGAGGGCGGGGGGGCGCGCGCCTCACCCTCGCTGGGCGGCCTTGGCGCTGCCTCTGCGCCTTGGAAGAGAAAAAAAAAAAAAAAAATCACCTCATAGAGCTGGGTCTTGCCGTCCCAGTGCTGCCTTCCCACGTGGTGCTGTCTGATGCCTTAGGTGACCTTAGGAGCAGCAGGCCCTGTGGGGCAGGGGCTCCCTGCGGTCATAAAATACATGGAAAAACGGGCTTTGCAGATGAGTGGGCCACAATGAAAGAAAACTCGGCTATCTCTCTGGGGGATTGCTCATAAAACTGCTTCAGGGCATCTGCTTTCCTGCGCAGGCTGTGCCCTGCAAGTCCTCGGGAGTACAAAAGGTAAAAGCAGGCTGGTAGCGAGTCAGAAGGAACTGCTGATATTTTGTGTACAGGCTAAAACCATCAGTTCTTTATTCTCCACACTGGCTTTCAGCTACTGTTAAATCTCTGGCAATCCCTGAAAGTACATGGATCATAAAGGATGGTGCCTCAGGTTTCACGCACACACACTGGCATATTAGTATTCTGCATATCTTCACTTTTGTTAGCTGAATACATAGACCTGAAAACAGAACATTGAAAGCAATTACATTTAGTCAAGCCGAAAATGTGGTTATGTTACTACGCTATTAAGAGTACTGTCGCTGAAGTACATATAAATATTCAACATCCGTGCTTACCCAGGGTGTAAATTGTGTTGTTACTAGGTATTATTGGCTTAAGATTTGCACTGAAACTGTGCTGAACTTGAAGTAAAACTATATTGTGAAGATATTTACCATCTTGTAAAAAAATCCCAAGAAGGGTTTTCTGGCAGGAATTTGAAGACTGCTTCATTTTTTCTCTTTGAAAAATTTAAAGATGTAGGACAACAGCTGAAGGAAGGAATATAAACTAGGAAAACAGAAGAAGATGAAAACAGGTCAAAAAGATGTGTGGCAACTACCAAACCAGTGCCAGAACCACTGTTACACTTTTTTCTTAAGGGGGTTTATGGAAGTTTATTGATAAATTCTCATTAAACTGATAGATGTGAGTGCAGCAATTTAAATAATTAAGAAAGAATTATCCCTAGTTGTTTAGCAACAAGTAACAGATATAAAAACCCCAGTCCTCCCCAAACCACAATCCCATCCTTTGATTTGACATGTTGTTTGAAGACAATACTTCATTTTTCAAGAACAACATTTTTTCATCAAAAGGAATATTAATACTGAAGGCTATCAAGTTCGATTATAGTCAACGGAACTATTTTGGACTGGATGAAATAGCAAGTTCGTTTTATAAATAATTTTTTTAAAATACAACTGTAAAGGTAAAAGAATTTCATAAAGAATTAAAATTATGAAGTCACAGATCTCCAAGTGGTCAGTCTTTAAAGAAAAGAACAAGCTGTCATGACACTTGAGATAAAACTCCAATTAAGCAGCAGTGTATTTTGAGCATCGACTTAGCTAACAGAAGAGCTACAATTTTTTTCTGACTGACATTGGCTTTCTTCATTGAAACAGTGTGGGGAATCAGGACCTGTTGTTCTAGTAAAATTGTGATTAAAAAAGGTTTATTCTTTGTCCGACATACTGAAATGCTTCAGTGTCATGGGCTGCATTCATACATAATATTATACTGTTACTCATACTCATAATCAAGCTATGGTTTAGAGAGAAATTAAATTCCATTTCATTGCATTGCATTTCATTAAACCAATTTAATCTTTTCTTCCTGTTTGACAGATAACTAAAATTCTCTAAAGTTTTCCAGGGGCACAATTTTGGATGTGGTTAAGGTCAGGTTTGCTCAGCCTTTGGGAAAGCAAACTGTGGCAATCTTCCAGGTTCCAATACTGTTTGGTGTAGAAATAATGCTAAAGACAATTAAACCCCCCCCCCCAACAACAACAACAAGTTGGCAAATGCAACATAAATAAAAGTATAATGATAAGCAGGATTTTCCTGAATAGGTGAAGGGGACTTACTTGATTTCCATGATTTATCTCAAATTTTATTTTGTGCCATATCTTATATAGTTTATGTAAAGAAATAAATCTTATATTGTTATTGAGGAAGAATAACAAATTATTTTTACAAATTCTGTACAATTATGTCCAAGTAGTGAAACAGAATGAAGTGTGAAGTGGAATATGAAAGCTTAACACACATCATCATGCACTGGACCCTCTACGCAGAAAAAACATGTTAGAAACTAACTGCATATTAACTCTACTGTGACAGAACATGCTCTCCCTACCAGAAAGTGGTTGACAAAGTAGACATAATTTAGAGAATAATGTACAGGACAAAAATACATGTGGAGGAAAAGACTCAAATCATGAATTATGAATAATTAAAACATATATGTAGTTGTATTTGAAGTCTTAATGCTTGAGGTGCTGTCCATGTTGCATGAAGTATCACCGGAAATAACAAAAAGCTTATTCTTACCCTAAATAATTTACATTTTAAGTTGGAATACCAGGGTGATACAGCAAACTATAGACAATACCGATGCTCTTAATAAGGATGAAGAAGTAAATATGCTTACAGCATACCTTTTGGGCACCAAAGGTTTTTGAGGGGATGACTCTAAGATAAAGTAAATCAAAACTCTTTCGTTTCAGGAAGGAGAGAAAGCAAACAAAAATGAAGCTAATGAAGTCAAGGGAAGACATTTGTCGAACAATCCAGTTTCATCAGAAAAATGGGGCTGTTTCAGTACCGACCTAGGAAAACCAAGCCATGTTCTCATTCAGTGTAAGTTCTAGAAGTCTCCTGCTACCAGTACAAACAAGGTCTAGTGATCTAATTAAGTACTAACCTAAGCATGATAAGCACTAGCACAAATTAATATTAAGCTTTCCTTTGAATAGGTCACAACCAAAAATTTGTGCAGTCTTAATAAGGGAGTATTTCACCAAATTAGGAGGGTTTTATGAGAGAAGTAGGCCAAGAATATGAGTGGTAACTGGTTATTGTTTAAGACTATTTCAGTAGGTGTCCAAACCCCCATAAATCTACAATTAAGGAAGAAAGCTACAACTTGGCTAATGGAAAGATAATGAAGGTTTTTGTCTATCCACCTGTCCTTCAATCTACGTATAACAAACACAAAAGGAGAGATGAATAGCAATGAATATATAGTTAAGAATACAACCTACAGAAAACAGGTACTTCATTTGTCAAAGACACACTTAAGGGATGTCTTGATAACAATAAAAATGCTATTAGAGGAAGCAGAAATTTAGTAGAGAACTTTTCAGTTTGATAGGTAAAGATATAATGAGGAGATTAAGATGGATATTATGGACCCTAGAACTGTAGTGCAATTTTAAAATAGGTTTGAAAAGAGTCTGTGAAGTGTTCTACTAGGTTTTCAGTGTGTCAGTCAAAGATAGTTCAATCATACGTATTGAAAGCTGCAGCAGGACTTGCTGCATCGAAGATCCATGATCTGTGTGGTTCAGAATGCCTGTCATCAAATTTTGATTTTGTGATGTATTTGGAATGAGTGGGGGTATAAGACATAAATTTCTTCTTCCTAATATGTAAATATAGTGGGAAAAATCAAAAGAACTTAGCTTCAGCCTGTCTGCCCACATTTAAGTGAAGAATCTTATGTAAAGCACATTAAATGCTCTTCAACTCAAGAAGCTCTCACAGGACAAATTCATAAGGGTATTGAGTTACGACTTGTAGGAAACATCACTAACATTCAAGCTGGTTTGACCTTTATGAGCTGATGACAGTTAAAATAACAACCCAGAGTTTTCAGAAAGCTGGTGACATTATGCTGCACAAAGTACTTGTGTATGAGTTTTGATGCTCACAAGATGGCGCCACGGGAACATAAAATAATGAGCACTGCATTTGAACAAAAAAGTGACTCATTCTTCAAATAAATCGTCACACATTTTTAAGTAACACTAGAACAATTCCACTGGTATTTCATAGAATTTTGTCAAAACTTGTATCTTCAGGCAATCCTACTGACAGGAATAATGTTTTATTAGTGAAAATGTATGTATGAAAATAGTATTTTTTGGCTAAAACTTCACGGCACTATTTATTTATTGCTCAAATAAATATAAAATCTATCATGACCTCAAAATGATCTTTAAAAATACATAGGCCATTTTCACTGTATGTAGGTTTAATAGATCTAGAATCTGATAGCTTTAGGGGAAGAACAAACTCTAACAACAGATGACTTTCTCAAAATATTTCTCATTTGCATTCTAAGTTAGAGAAATAAATGAAGGAAGAGAAGAACAGCAAATGAAATATCTAAAGGGAATTGACTAATTAGATCATTTGTCCTAGTGCCCATTTCCCATGAGGCAGTTTTGGAATTAGTACTAACAGTGAGAGTGTTGAAGACAAGAGTCAATGAGGTTTGACCCACCAAGGTTAAATCTCGTAATGCTTGTTGTTTGAGGAGCAGATTCATAGATAAGTAAGTTAAAATATCTGAGAGACTTAAAATAATGTACTTCTATTACAAACAGCCAATAGAGCTTTATCTACAAATTTCTTCTTGAAGCTTTAACTTCCACTGAGCTGTACCAGATCATTGAGATGATCTCAGGAGGTCCCTTCCAAGCTAAATGATTCTATGATCCTGATTCAGAACTTTCTTCTACTTTTTTTTTTTTTTTCTTCCAGTCCACTCTTGATTGCCTCTGTGTAATTTATTGCCTTGCTCACGTCCATGGCCTAATCTCATCTGAATTAAAGCTCTTTCAGCTAGCAA